TGTGTAGAAGCTTTTAATTTGATATAATCCCACTTTTTAAATTATCTCGTTTGTTGTCTATGCTTGTGGGGTCTTATCATAAAGTCTTTGCTCAGTCCTACATCCTGGAGTGTTTCCCTTATGTTTTCTTGTAGGAGTTTTAAAGTTTCAGTTCTTATATTTAAGTCTTTAATCCATTTTGAGTTGATTTGGGTATATGGTGAGAGGTGCACATCAAGTTTCATTCTTCTAGTATGGATATCCAGTTTTCCCAGCACCATTTATTGAACAGGCTCTCCTTTCCCCATTGTATGTTCTTGGTGCCCTTGTTGAAGATCAGTTGTCTGTAAATATATGGGTTGATTCCTGGGTTCTCTATTCTTCTCCATTGGTCCATGTGTCTGTTTTTATGCCAGTGCCATGTTGTTTTGGTTGCTATAGATTTGTAATATAGTTGGAAGTCAAGAAGTGTAATGCCTCTGGCTTTACTTTTTTTGCTCATAATTCCTTCAGCTATTCATGGTCTTTTATTGTTCCATATGAATGTTAGGATTTTTTTTTTTCTATTTCTGTGAAGAATGTCATTGGTATTTTGATGGGGATTGCATTGAATCTGTAGATGGCTTTAGGTAGTATAGACATTTTCACTACATTGATTCTTCCAATCCATGAACGATGAATGTCTTTCCATCTTTTTGTTTCCTTTTTAATTTCTTTCAGCAGTCATCTCTCACAGTAGAGATCTTTCACCTCCTTGGTTAGATTTATTCTTAGGCTTTTATTTTATTTCATTTTATTTTTTGGTGACTATTGTAACTGTGCTTGCTTTCTTGATTTCTTTTTCTTCTAGTTTATTGTTGGAGTATAAAAATGCTACTGATTTTTGTATATTCATTTCATATCCTGCAACCTTACTGAATTTGTTTATCAGCTCTAAGAGTCTTGTGGTAGAGTCTCTTGGGTATTCTATATATAGAATCAGGTCATGTGCAAACAAGAACAATTTGGCTTCATTTTTTCCTATTTGGATGCCTTTATTTATTTCTCTTGTCTAATTTCCCTGGCAAGTCCTTCCAATACTATGTGAAATAGGAGTGGTGAGAGCTGTTTGCTAGTATTTTGTTAACAATTTTTGCTTCTATGTTCATCAAGGCTATTGGCCTGTAGTTTTCTTTTCTCTTGTTTTTTCTTTGTCTGATTTTGCTATCAGGGTGATGATGAACTCATAGAATGAGTTTGGGAGAACAGCCTCTGTTTTATTTTTCAGAATAGTTTGAAAAAAATTGGTATTAATTCCTCTTTAAATATTTGATAGGATTTGGCAGTAAAGCCATCCTGTCCCAGGGTTTTCTTTATTGGGAGACTGCTGATTACTGATTCAGTCTCATTGTTAATTGTTGGTCTGTTCAGGTTTTTTATTTCTTCTTGGTTCAGTCTTGGCAGGTTGAATGTATCCAGAAATTTATTCATTTCTTCTAGATTTTTTTGTAGTGATAAGATATAGTTTCTTTTTCTCATTTGCATAGATGTTTTGCCAGTGAGTTTTATTCTTTCCTGTGTTATTGTAATGATAGTTATCATTATTTTGCTTCCAGATATAGGACTCCCTTAAGGATTTCCTGGAGGGCTGTTCTAGTGGTGATGAATACCCCGTTTTTGTTTGTCTGGGAAAGACACTATTTCTCTTTCATTTCTGAGAATTTCTTTGAGAATATAATATTGTTGGCTGGTGGTTTTTTTCTTTTAATGCTTTGAATATATCATCACATTCTTTCTGGGCCTGTAAAGTTTCTGCTGAGAAAACTGGTGTTAGTCTAATGGGGATTCCCTTATAGGTAACTTGATACTTCTCTTGTGTGTTTTAGAATTCACTTTTGGTCTTTGACTTTTGAAAATTTACTACAATGTGTCTCTGAAAGGACTTTTTGGGGTTGAATCTGTTTGGGGATCTTTGAGCTTCTTGGGGCTGGAAGTCCATATCCCTGCAAATAGTTGGGAATTTTTCAGCTGTTATTTCATTAAATACATTTTCTTTTTTTTTTCCTTTTTGTCTTTTTTTTCGTGACCGGTAATGGGATCGCAACCCTCAGTGTTGCGCCTGCACCGCGACCGGCAATGGGATCGCAACCCTCGGTGTCACGCCCGCAATGCGCTCAACCAGTGAGTGGACTGGTCTCTATATGGGATCCGAACCCTCGGCGGCAGCGCCACCACACTCCCAAGCTCCACATTCTACCGAGTGTGCCACTGGGCCGGCCCATTAAATACATTTTCATTGCCTTTTCATTTCTATTTCTCTTCCAGAACGCTCATAATTCAGATACTTGTATGCTAAGTTGTCCCATAGATCTTGTAAACTTTATTTTTTTTAATTCTTTTTTCTTTTTTGTCCATCTGTATTATTTCAAAAAGCCTGACTTTGAGTTCAGAAATTCTTTATTCTGCTAGTTCTAGCCTGTTGCTTCAGCTCTTAGTTCTGTTTTTATTTTATTGAATGAATTCTTCAGTTCCAAGATTTCTGCTTGTTCCTTTCTAAAGATATCTGTCTCTTTGTTGAATTTCTCTTCTAGATCCTGGATTGTTTTTGTCATCTCACTGTGTTGTCTATATGAATTTTCTTGTATTTCATTGAATTTCCTTAACATTATTTGGAATTTTTTTCAGGTATTTTGTTTGGGGTCTGGTACTAGAGAACTATTGTATTCATTTAGGGGTGTGATATTTTCTTATTTTTTCATATTTATAACATCCTTAATTTGATGTCTCTTAGTTTTTCATATTTATAACATCCTTACCTTGATGTTTGTGTATCTGGTGGAACAGTTGCTTCTTCTAACGTTCTGGAGTAGCTTTTGAGTGGAGAGACTACCTACAGTCAATGTGCTATATTGGGACAATTGGGTAGAGTTTTTTAGGTTTGATTCTAGGTAGATGCAGTAGTGTGGTCTCTGTGCAATTACTTCAAATGTATTCAATGCTGGAGTTGTCTGTGAGTGCCAGTGTGGCCGAGGTGCCTGGGTGCTTGGCAGTTCATTTCAGAAATGGGTGACGCTGGATCACTAGGGTTGTTTGCAAGGTCTTGAGCTCTTGAGAGAAGTGCTGGGGCGCTCCTCGGCTTTAGTAGGTTATTCTGGGCAGGCTTACTGGCACCCTGGCCAGGATCCCATGTCCCTGATAGATGTACTGTGTTCTCTGCAGCTCCTCAGCTTAAATGGGCAACTCTGGCTGGGATTTCTAGGGGTTGAGATCAGGATCTTGGAGTTTCAGGGAGACAGTGAGGTGCTCAGCAGCTCCTCAGGTACAGTGGGTGAATCAGTGGAGTCACTGGGGTTTCAGTCTAGGCCATATACCCCCAAAAGAGGCATTGGAGTATTTTGCTGCTCTGCACCTGATATGGGCAACACTGGGTGAGGTTGCTGGGGCTATGGATTGGACTTTGTGCCCCAAAGAGAGATGCTGGTGCTCTGAACTTTTCACCATTGAAGTAGGCCACTCTAGATGAGGTCACTGGGTTTGTGGGTGGGGCCCTGCACTCTCAAGAGGGACACTAGGTTTCCTCTGCAGCACCACTGTTGGAGCGGGCACACTGGGCTAGGTGCTAGCAATTTTTAGTGGTACCTTTCACTCTAAAGAAGAATGTTGGGTCACTCTGCAGCTCCTCAGCTGGAGTATATCACTATGGGTAGATCTCTGGGGTCTCAGATGGGGCCCTGTGCCTCCAAGAGGGATTCTGGAGCTCTCTGTAGCTATTCAGTTGGAATGTCCACTCTAGGAAGGGTCGCTGTGGTCATAGGTGGGACCCTGTGCCCTCAAGAGAAATTTTGGGTCTCTCTGTGACTTCTCAACCAGAGTGGGCCACTCTGCATAAGGTTATTGTGGTCATTGATGGGAACTTGCATCCCCAAGAGAGATGCTAGAGTTTTCTGCAGTTGCTCAGCTGAAGTAGGCCACTCTGGGCAAGGCCACTGTGGTTGTAGGAACACCCCTGTGACCCCATGAGAAGCACTGGGTCACTCCTCAGCTCCTCAGCTGGGGTTAGCTGCCCTGAATAACGTAACTGAGGTTGTAGGCAAGCCACTATGCCCTTAAGAGAGATGCTGGGTCTTCTGCAGCCCCCCTGCTGAGGCAGGCATCCTTGGGAGGGCTCACTGGTGCTGCACTTGGGGGGGTGTGCTCCTGAGACTGGTATGCGGGTCCTCCACAGCCTCCCTGCTGAAGTGCATGGATCTTCTGTGGTCCGCTAAAGCCACAGCACAGCTCAGCGTGGCTGTGAGGTTTGCAAAGGTGTTTCACCAAAGAAGGTGGGATGCTGGCCTCAATCAGTTGGCTTTCTGGCTTTCAGAAAGTGCACACAGAAACTCTCTCTTTCCTTAGGGTGGCCCCCTCATTGCACTTGATCAACTGTTCCCAGGACACAGGATGATGTGTGGACTCAGGTGCAGGTGACTCATGTGATGATGGAGCCTCAGGGCTGTTGTACTGCTGGGGCTATTGGTCACTTGGCTGTTGGCCCAGATCCCAAAATGGCAATCAGTGCAGCAGACAGCAGCTCCCCACACCAGGAACGAGGCCTGCAAGGGCAGCACAACTCCCCTATGGTTTGGACTACTGGGACCAAGGTGTCATGCTCACTCACCTCCCTCCTGCAGGCAGAACCTCCTCCTGCGTTCTTGCTCTATCTCTTCCTTCTTTCATTCCCACCCTCCTTTTCTCCCTTTCTCTATCCCACCCTCTCTCCCTTGTTCCGTCCTTTTTTTCATTTCCTCTCATTCTTCCTTGCCTTTTTTCTCTCAGTATAATTTCTTTTTCCCTAAAAGCAACTGCTATCATAAAAATAAAATGTTCCCAAGCATTTTTAATATGTTTACTGCATGCATATGATTACACACACACACACACACACACACAGTATAACGTTTTAAAATATTTTAAAACTGCATCTTCTTTGTGGTAAGAAAATGGCAGGACATATTAGACAATTATACAATACTTTAATTGCTTTGCACACAAAGTGATGATTTTTATTGGAAGTACGCCACTTTTATTATCAATGCGAGGTCAGCTTTTTGAATGTTCAGGGCTCTTTTACTTGTAAACGGAGGGAGAAATCTAATAACACTGTCCAGTACTTTCCTCAGGGCTATTTGCATTTGTTTGTTTCTTAGACTGTAAACAATGGGGTTAAGCAGAGGTGTCAGAACTGTATATGTCACAGCCATCAGCATGTCTTCATGGGATGAATCACTGTTCTTGGGCCTCAGATAGACAAAGCAAGCAAATCCGTAGTGAATGAACACAACTGTGAGGTGGGAGGAACAAGTTGAGAAGGACTTATACCTCCCCTTTTGCAGAGGGCATCTTCACAACTGTGGACACAATGAAGACATAGGAAATCATAATTAAAATAAAGCTGCCCATCAGCACAGAGGCAGAGAGCACAAATATAGCCACTTTATGATGGGAAGTGTAATCACAAGCAAGGTCAGCCACAGGTGAGATGTCACAAAAGAAGTGCTGGATAGTGTTGGAGTCACAAAAGGACAAGTTAAATATAGTGGTGATGATGCACAGAGAAACCAGTAATCCAACCACACAAGAGGCCATCATGAGCTGAAAGCAGATCTTTCTTGTCATAAGAGTATAGTAGTGCAGTGGGCTGTGGATGGCAGTGTAATGGTCATAGGACATGGCTGCCATGATGGAACAGTTATTGGCTGCCAAGCCAAAGAAGAAAAACATCTGTGTGGCACACTCAGGAAGAGAAATGGTCTTGCTCTCTGATAGCAAGTCCACTAACATGCGGGGGATGATCACCATCGTGGTGCAGGTTTCTGAGAAGGACAGACCACAGAGGAAGAAGTACATGGGGGTGTGAAGGTTGTGGCTGAGCTTGATGGCCACCATTATGGACACATTTGCAGCTAGGATGGTCACATGGGAGAAGAACACTGCCACAAAGAGAAGACCATGTATGTCCGGGGAACTGGAAAATCCCCACAGAAGGAATGTGCTCACTGTGGTGTGATTGCCCATCTTCTTCATGATTATACTCACTTTCTACCAGTGGTGCAGAGGTGCACTTGGTCAAGACTCTGAGGTAATTGTAAAAAGTTCCTTATGCACTGATGTCACCTACACTTTAATTCAAAGCCCTGAACAAATGTAAGGCAACTCCTGGAGAACCCAAGAAAAGGACTTCAGTGTGCCTGGCAGAAGTCAAAGTCAGAATTCTGAGTGGTGAGGACAATGATTCTGGTGTGTGAATATATATAAACACCATAGAGTGTGCCCCAAATCTTCTTGGATTCTACTCTTTATCTCTCTTTCTCCATTCTGCCTCTGCAAGGGAAAGGTAAAATATAAATAAAAGTTCTTTGATTTCACCCATCAGATTTTGAAACGCCACATTTTAAAATGATTTTTGTGATCAAATAATACCCTGACACTCAGGAATGCTTCATAAACTGCTGATTAATCACAAAGTGAAGGCTGTGCAGGTCTGGGAACCTATAAAATCCCCACAGAAGGAATGTGAGATGGGGGCAGAAAGGTGATATGAAGACTATCCACAGAATTTTTATTTTAATTTCTGTCACTGTTAAAGGTGAATAGAAAAATATAGTATAAAGAAGCAGACATAGGAAATGAAGGGCTGAGAGAGAGAGAAACATTGGCTGGAAATAACTCTAAAGGATCCACAAAGACAAAAGACAAAACTATTATATTGTTAGTTGAAGATTTCCTGTCTTCTATTTGCACTGCAGTTGTGGACAAAGAATATAAGAGGGGTCAGGCCAGGTGACCTACTTAATACCTACAGTGTGCCAGACATTATGCTACTGTTAAACAGCGCTGTCTCATATGATCCTCACAAGTCTATGTGATGAATTTTTATTCTGATTTAACAAAGCATGAAGTTGAAGTAAAGGATGGTTGCATAACTTTCAGAAGCCATGAATTCATTCAACATATATTGACTAAATGTGAATAAAGGATGTACCAAGCCGTTCTATGCATGAGAAACACAGCAGCAACCAGACAGGCAGGATCTCTGTGATGTGAGAGTGCATAACTACTATTGTGTGTGGAGTGTGGAAAGGCCTCTCTCAGGCCACACACCTACACCCACCACAACTTCTTGGCATCTCTCCAGTGAAAGAAATCTCCAGGATAACAGGGCATGTGTAGATTGCATAATCTTTCTCAGTGATTTAGGTTGAGAAACTTTACCTTTTATGACACTTTCCTTTTCATATGTATTGATGGTAAATTCTGCTTTTCTCATACTATTCAAGTAGGGTAATGACAGAAGATATGTCAATGTGACATTATTTCCAATCTTCCCAGTGACCCAGGTGCCACTGGAGAACAAGATGTCTATAACATTGTATCAGCCCTTCTGTTCGTATTGACCAAGCAGATTATTTTCTTTCTACACCTGCTTTTGCCTTGAATTTGCCATCCTATTCCTTGTTTTCAGTTCTTCAAAGCTTCCTCGATGCAATTTTCTGGGTTTCCTCTCTACCAAAAGTAAGGAATTGATGACATTCTTAATTTCTGGATTATCTGTGCCATAGTTTCTTTAATACCTTCTAACAAGCTATAAACACAAGTACTTGACTATTAGAACATATAAGGTGATGTTCATTGTAAAGAGTTAAAAAAAAAAACCCCAAAAAACTCTAAAATTTCCACTTCTAAGGAAGGAGAAAGGAGAATCACCTTCCAGTGTCTTAAAATCATGAGGCAAATTAAGCTGTAGAAGAATTTACAGTCTCATAACTCAGGTATGGCTTTCTGCATGTCTTCCTGTGATTTCACAAATCTCATAATTCAGAGATAAATTTTAAGGCAACTTTTCTCTTTGAATGCCTGTGATGACTCCCCTCTGAATTTAACATCTTCTATACATAAAAGGTAGGGTCATCTTCATTCTTTACAGATGGGGCTCAGAATCATGAAGACTTTAATGAGAGTCCTGGAGCCATAGGAGACCATTATTATTTTAGTAATTCTAAATTTTGGCCATTTTTCAAGGTTCAAATGCCACCTCATTCATGAAGCCCCTTGTTTGTATAATGTATGAAAACTAAGACAGAAATCAGAGTCATTAAGCAGGAATCCTATATGGGGTATCAGAACCACAATGCGAACAGATTCGGTGTAGCTGTACATAACCATAACTTGGGACTTTTTGAAGCCAGGTAGACATTTTTGTGCTTTTCCTGGATCTCCCTTACCATGTCAGTGAACACATCTCCAGCTTCTTTAAGAGCTGGCTGCTAATGTTCATAGCCATATTCCTTTGAGAATTGCTCTTGGCCGAAGGGAACATAATTGATTGAAAATATCTGGGAGTGCATGCTCTCACATCCAGGCTGACCCACAGCCAACAACTGAATGATACAGTGATTTAAAAACAACCACAAAAATGCCCTATTGCTGCAAGGTAGGACCACTCTGAGGCGCCATTTGTGCTCCTGTGATCCCTGTGGGGTCACACTGCAACTACACTTTAGTGACTCCACATTTTTATCTGGTGTCTCCCCTTGCCCTGTCTTGCTTCTCTCTATCCTTATGGTTTTCTCCTGAGGTCACTCCTTCACCAAATCACTTGCCTAAGAATTGCTAAGACTCTGATTTTGGAGAACTTGTCGTAAATCAGAGCGTTAATGAATACACAGGAATAAGGACTGCATATACTTTATTATGTACACTCGAAATTAAAAAATAATGAAGTATAAACACCAGATTCTGATTGCTGACTCCGATTCCTTCTCACCGAGGGACTAGATATAAACCTTAAACCCCATTAGTCTATGGGACATATTGCACTGGCTCCTTTTGGTGCTGGGATTTTTGCTTCCCGCTAAATGGCCCTCTGTAAGTTAAAAAGTAAGTAAGTTAAAAAGTTAGTAAGTTAAAAAGTTATTAGAGCTTTTTAACATTATGTTTATTCAGAGTACAGTTAGTAAATTTTTAGTGGATATCATTGATTTTCTATTGATGTCTGATACAATCTGCCAAAGACAGATAGAGCTACATATTGCTGCCACGCTGAGTCTCTCTACTTTAAATCATTCGTCTATCTGTTTACTGTTATCTTCATCCTCTACTCTTTCAAATGCAATGTAAGTCAGCTCCAGGAACAGTGATAGAAATAAGAGTGTCATTTTCCTGCTAGAAAATAGAGCTTCAGACACTGCCACTCCTCTCCTCAATTATGAAAACATGTTCATGTTACATTTTTTAAATAAGACTTTTAACCATCTTCTTAGAACTAGTAACCTAGAGCATTAATCATATCGTTTATTCACTCATTCACTGATTCAGAAATTATATCGAGTACATCATATATGCCAGACACTGTCCTATGCTTTCAGAAATATAAGTGATAGTCAAAGATGTCTGCTTTCATGAAATATTTCTTCCAGCATCTTCAAAGCAGAATGAGAAGGGGCTATGGTCTAGCATTAACTTAATATGCCAAAAAAGAAAAGGAAAAAAGAATAATTTAATAATTGTGTCAAGCAGAGCAGTCACCAAGTAACAAATCATTTAAACTTCTACAAAACTTTAAAGGATTTTAACTTAAATCACTTAAACTTTCTATACTAGCTTCTAACAAGGAACAGAGAGATCAAAAACAGAGTTGTGGAGAAGAAAAAGTAGAGAGTCAAAAAATAAGTAAGTAAGGTGGGAGCAGGTATTATTTATTTAATTTTAAGGTCCACTTTCTTGAATGCAAAAATAATTCAATGTGATTGATGAAGTTGCTCCAAAAGAGAAAAAACGATTTTTATCTAATAGTAGTGTTTCTTGTTATTTATTTCAGTGACTTAAAAGAAGAGAGAACATTCCTATCACCTTCCAAAAATTCTTCATGTGCATTTGTAGTCCATGCTTCCCTCTGCCTCTGGCCCTAGGTAACTGCTGATCTGCTTCTTGACAATATAGATTAATTTATTTGCTTTTTCTAAAGTTTTATAACTTAGAATCTCATAGTATATACTCTGTTGGATCTGATTTCTCTCTCAACATAATTATTTTGAGATTCATTCATGTTGAATGTATTAGTAATTTGTTTCTTTTCGTTGCTGAGTAGTATTCTATTATATAGATATACCACTTTTTAATCTATTCCCCTCTTGGAGGACTTAGCAATGGTTTCCAGTTTGAGGCTTTTGTGAAAAAAGCTGTTGTCTATAAACATTGAAGTAGTTCATGCATGGATATATATATATGTTTTTACTTCTCTTAGGTTAATACAAAGAAGTGGTATGGTGGGTCATATACTAGGTATATGTTTACGTTTTTAAGAAACTGTCAAACAATTTTCCAAAATGGTTGTATGGTTGTACAGTATCATGTCTGAAGTTAAGATTTCTGTTTGCTCAAAAACCTTCCTAACATTTGGTATTATTCTTTAATTTTAGCCAACCTAATGGTTGTATGATGAGATATTTTTGTTGTAATTTGTATTTCCCTGAAGACTCCTGGTGTTAAGCATATTCCCATCTGTTTATTGACTATTTGTGTACCTCTTTTTTGAAGTACTTGTTCAAATATTTCCCCTATTAAAATTTAGGCATATTCTCTTCTTATTCAGTTCTAAGTATTCTTTATATACATTCCATATACAAGCCTGTTGTCATGTTTATGTACTGCAAATAATTTCTCTTTCTCTGTCCTGGGTTTTTTGTTTGTTTGTTTGTAGAGCACATGTTTTAAATTTTGATGAAGTGAATATGTAATTTTTATTTCATTTATGGTTTGTGCTTCTGTATCCAACCTAAGAAATATTTGCCTACTCTAAAGTTACAAAGATTTTCTCATATATTTGGCTCTAGAAATATTATAGTTTTTATTTTGCACTTATAAGTATGATACATTTTGAGTTAATTTTTGTGTATGGTATGAGGCAAGTGTCGCTGCTCATTTTTTTCCATACGTATATGTGGCTGTTCTTATAATACATGCTGAAAACCCTTTCCCCACTGAATTGCCTTTAACATTTTTACAAAATCAATTAGCAAATATATATCCAATATATTGGATTTATCCAATATACATTGTGGATCTAGTTTTGGATTGTCATTTCTGTTCCTCTGATCTGTTTGTCTATCATTTCACCAAAACCTCGCTATTTTGATTAATTTCGCATTATGGTAAGTCTTAGAGTTATCTAGTGCAAATCCTCCAACTTTGTTCTTAAGTTTCTTAAATTTCTTTTATGACTATGTCTGGTTAGCTTGCATATCCACATCGAATCACCTAGTCCATTAGACAAAAAGTACTTCTAGAATTTTAATCCATATCGTATTGAATTTATAGATCAGTATTTGGAGAATTGACACCTTAATGATATTGGGTGTCCCAATGCATGGACATGGTATATCTCTCTCCATTTATTTATTTATTTATTTATTTATTTATTTATTTATTTATTTATTTATTTATTTATTTATTTATTTATTTATTTATTTATTTATTTATTTATTTATTTATTTATTTATTTATTTATTTATTTATTTATTTATTTATTTATTTATTTATTTATTTATTTATTTATTTATTTATTTATTTATTTATTTATTTATTTATTTATTTATTTATTTATTTATTTATTTATTTATTTATTTATTTATTTATTTATTTATTTATTTATTTATTTATTTATTTATTTATTTATTTATTTATTTATTTATTTATCCTCGGTGTTGCGCCCGCACCTCGCTCAGCCAGTGAGCGGGAACCGGTCTGTATGTGGGATCCGAACCCTCGGCGGGAGCGCCACCGCACTCCCAAGCGGCGCACTGTAGCAGTGCGCCACCGGTCCGGCCCCTCTCTCCATTTATTTAGGTCTTTAATTCTTCTCCGCAGTGTTCTATAATTTTTAGTAAAGAGGTCTTGCAGAGCATTTAATAAATATATTATTAAATATTGAAGGTTTGTACATACTATAAGCATAATTTTTTGCTGTTTTAATTTTTTCATTGTTTGCTGCTTGTATATAAAAATAAAATTGCTAGCAAGATGGCAGAGTAGGAGATCTCAGCCTTTGTCCTCCATAAAGAATAGTAATTGGACAGCTATCCACAAACAAAAATAGCTCTGCGAGAGCTCAGGAGTACAGTTAAGAAAGCACAGCAACACAGTGTGACAAGCAAGCCAAGAATACCTACACAAAAGGGGGAGAAAGAACAGTTTCATTTTGCCTGCATCATCCCATTCCCCAGGCTGGCATCTCTTAGTGTCAAGAGGGAGGCCCCGGGCCAATGAGTTTCCCTCTCAGAAAAAAAGGAGAGTAGAGTGAATGACTGGTTTTCCCCCGCTTTCGGGGGCACTGCCTGAAAGACCTGCTTCATTTTTACCCCGCCTGGATTATTGGGGATACTGGCATAGATGAAACATCTGGAAATGGCTAGAAACATAGAAGACGGTCCAGACTATTAGTATCAGCCAGGTGACAGGTGCCACCTTGATCCTCAATGGTCAGCTCTGCAAAGGACCCAAGAGTCGTGACTCCTTCATGTCTTTCTTACTGATTTCTACTAAAAGAAGGGCTCTTGTATACCAGACTGTATCCCAGAGACTCTGTTTAGCTTATGTTCTCTTACGAGTATTCACCTAACTGTGGCGCTATTACCTTGTCTTTATACATCTAGTCTTGTGCTTATATTTGCTTTTAAGATTAATCACTTGTGAATTTATATTTGCATATACATTTATTTGTATGTAAATGATTAATAATAAAATTTTTATAAGAAAATGAAAAAGAAGTTTAACCATCAAAGTGGTAATATTTGTTGTGTGCAATTATAAATATCATAGGTAAGTATGCGTTTTGTTATGCAACTAAAACAATTTCTGAAAATGCTTATTAGGATACAGGCAAAAGGCAACTTACTTTTCTCATTGCTGCTCCTTCAAAAATCACTTTGTCAGTCACTACTTTACCTCTAAATGAAATTTGGGGCCTGTATTAATACATTTGTGTCACTTATACAGAATAACTGCATAATGTATAAATAAATAGGATTTATTCCTTACAGCTTCAGAGTCTGGGAAGCCCAAAGTCCAGGGAACACATCTGGCACAGGCTTTTTCCTGGTGGTTACTCTACAGCGATGCATTGTGAAATGACTGAGCAAGAGAGAGCTAAGCTTCTCACTTTCTTTCCTTTTAAAGCAATCAGAATCACACCCATTACCACCCATTAAACTATCAATGGATCAATCCATTCACAAGGGTAAGTACCTGCAATCTAATCACCTCTTGACAGCCCCACCTTTCAAATGCCATAATTGAATTTTCCACCCTCTTAACTCTGTTACAGTGAAAATTGGTTCAATGAGTTTGGAGGAACATTCAGTCCACAGCAGGGACTACCTTACAGTTTTGGTCCTTTTCAACTATTAACACACACTCTCATTTTTTCTGATATAAAGAATGTAGTCTAATATCAAAGTTTGAATCACTTCCCATTTGAAATTTCACCTTCCTAACCTGGCCAGTTAGCTCAGTTGGTTAGAATGTGGTATATCACCAAGGTCAATGGTTCAGTTCCCTGTACCAGCCAGCCACTAGAAACACACACACACACAAAAACTAAAAAAATAAAATAAAATATCACTTTCCTGCCCACCTCCCACTCCAATTTTTGTCTAACGCAACCTAGAAGCTTGCATTATGAAGAGAAGGCAGGAGTGTATGGCCAGCATCTCCAGAAATTCCTCCCATTGCCACTTCCCCTCCTGTACTCACTAGGCTGCTCCTGGCTCCTCCAGTACTAGAATTGAAGAAGGGACAAGAGGCAAGCAACTGCAAAGGCTGTACTTAAGGAGATCCAGCCATCTTCTCAATGTTAGGGGGTTTTTTTTTCAGGCATGTATCACATGCCAGTCCCTAACAATCTAGGACTTACACACCAACTCTGAGTGGTCCTCAGATACCTTTTTAATTGTCTTCTAATTGGGGATGGGAGTGTTTATGTCTTAGTTTGAATTCCCTGGAGGGCAGAGCCTGAGATAAGAATTTGGCTTCAGATACTTTATTTGAGAGATGATCCAAGGAAGTGGGCGTGAAGAAATATGGAGGGTGAGACAGGCAAGGAGGAAAAGTCAACAGAAGGAGCGTATGATGAAGGTCACTGCTATAGCAACAGTGGCTTGATTCCACTGGGACATGTGAGAAGCCCAGATATGACCTTCCAGAATTGTCTTTCTGAAGGATGAAAAAAGATGTTTACGTACTTAATTAAAGACTCCATTTGTTGGGGGTTACCCCTGGGGTTTTAACCATTTCTACATCTAGGATACTCTTGCATGTGGTCTTAGCAGGCTGCTGGTGACTTCTCATAAGGTTTTGGGCTTCAGAGAATGACTGGGACGTTAGAGTGGAAGTGGTAGTGGTTCTCACTGGAAGTGAGAGACTGATGATGTGAGTTAGAACCACTCACTTTATATGCACCTAAAATCATAATTAGAGCAAAGATATGTAATGTAGGTACCAAAAACATGCACCAAAAACTTCTAACTCCCACCACCTTACCCCATGGTGAGGGAAGAGAAAATGCCAGTCTAACAACTCACTGTGTAAATATTTTCACTCTAGAAATCATTTCTACTATTTATATATGTGTATGTGTATGTGTATATGTATATATATATATATATTATATATAT